CTTTCCCCGTGGAATACATATTGCACAAATACTTGGACCATAATGCTCGTAAATGTAAATTTCTTCCCACAGTGATGACAATATTAACAGGTCAACATTTTAAGCTGGTCAGGTCTCATTTGTTATTCAACTTACAGCAGAATCAGCTCTTCTCATGGGCTTAGCACTACCACAATGTTTACTGAAAGCAATCAAGAAGTAGTGATATAAAACAGAATATTAATGTTGCAAGAATCAGTTTTATGTACACCATGTTATTGGCACCTTGTATCATTTTGCCAATTATTTACCATTATTCTGCAGCACATATGTGACACCCAATGGGCATTTTTAGAATTATATTTCTAATGAATAACGTTTTAGAGGACCCATTGGGAATGAAAGGACCTGGACATTAAAAACTGATTCCCTAAAAGTAAACAAGTGAAAATAGACCCCCAAAAGGAAAACTAAACAAAACAGTGTGTCATAGTATATTCAATAGTAAACAGATTTATATTCCATATGCACTAGAAAGCAAGATGCATTATACAAAAGTGTGAATACAACCAAATGTTTTCTGTTACTTATTAGATTTATAGACACACACACACCATTTGTTACAACGCTGGGTGTGAATCTGTGACAATTTCTGAATGCAAACTTTTATATTGTACTTTATCCTGGGGGGGGGGGTTGTTTTGTTAAGATAAAGATTCTCTTCAGTCAAGTTCAACTTTTACTTACCGTAGAACACATCCGTGTAATTTTTATTGCAGCAATCAGAAGTGGTTGGACGTTGCCTTCGTGTTTGTGTGTGTGTTTCAATTTTTCAATCTAGTTTATCATTTTGAGAATTCCTAGTCTCCCATCCAAACCAGATCTGACCCTCCTTAAATTTTGAAAATCAGCCAAGATCAACTCAGTGCTGCCACCTGCTTGAGTTAGATTTACAGTCTTATGTATATCTATCACAAGGCGTAGAGAATACATCCTTGTCTAACTAACTTTCCCCCCATTTTAGTTGCAATTGCTGCATTCATTCACACTTTTAATCATTTAAATCAGTCATATTTACAACTCACTTCAGTTGTAGCCCCTGCTGAAACACCAACACCCTGATCTGAGGAAAACATTTAGCCTTGATTTCAAGGACCATCAGATCTGATCTATAAAAATCAGAGGACGCCAAAGAGATACAGAAAAGTAACTCTTTGCCATATTTTAAGTTCATTCTCATAGTAAAATCAAATCAAAACTTTATTACTGGCCTTTAGGCCAGAGAACAAAATAAAAATACATAAACCTAGTAAAATGTATTTCCTTTTCCCTTTGACCTGGAAAACTAAAATCTATTATTTGGCTAGTACTGTACAGGATGTAATAAGTAGTTTTAGTCCCACCATACTAGTAATTTTGTGGAATATCCATGATCAACATTTCAAATATGTTCACTGGCCTCAAAAGATTGGGGAACTTTGACCTTAGTCATGTAATCTCTATGTACAATTTGCCAGTAGCAAATAATTTGTTTTTGTCAACATTCTCTCCTTCCAGAGTAAGACTAAAATAGATGCATGAAGCCTTTTTGGCTTAATGTAGCCATGTGTCTTTAGCTCAAAAGATGAAAACATAAAATGCAAAAAACTTCAGTCCTGCCTCTCCAGGTACATCTCCACATCGGCAGACTACGGTCCTTAAAATTCCAAAAGCACCAACGAAGTTGTTGAAGATCCTCGGACTATAATCTCCCCAGTTTGAATGGCAGGGAATGATACAGGATATTGGGGAACATCATCCTGTTTGAAAATTTCATTGAAGTGGCAAAAGATGGCCTGAATGTACTGACATGGAAGTCCCAGTGATAGATCTGGAAAGCATCTGCCTTAATCGGTTAAAACTATATTCATATATGGGTTCTTTGGTTTGGCTTTGCACTATATGGGAACCCATCACCCTTGACTTACTAAACATTGAGCGTATCATTACTTAATTCATCTTAAAAGTAACTTGAAAGACAAAAAAGAGTTGCTCAAGGAATTTATCAAAATAGTCATACCATCACCTCAGTATCTATCCTGGTTAGAGCTTTACAAGAGCTGCAATGCCTCCATATTTTAAAAGTACCAAACTGGGAAAGTTTATTCTACCGCCAAATCCTATATATATTTAAAATATTACCTTTTGAACTCTGACCATTTCCCCATCCACAATTAAATGCACTGCAGCAAAGTGTAGTATTCCTAGATAGCTGATCATCAGCCAATCCAATAAAACTTCAGGCAACCAATATGCAGCTGTAATTAATAATATTAACAGCCCCAAGTGATTGTTACTTTTCAAGCATCTTCAGGCCTATGTGCCTCACTCCATACATAGGCCTTCCTTTGATCTTCAGGCTTATGTGCATCAGAAGTGAGAAATTAATATCTCCTTGCAATGGCTCCTTAGCTATTTAAGTTTAGATGCACAAAACATATCCACATTCCATACATCATCTTGTTTGGCCTTTGGCGGACAGAGGAATAACAAAGCCCTGTAAATTAACTTTTTATGCTTTGTATTCTACACAAGCAAACTCAGGGAGGCAGTGAAGGACAGGAAGGCCTGGCGCAATATGGTTCATGGGGTCATGAAGAGTCGGACACGACTTAACGACTAAACAACAACAACAATTCTATATCCACATTCCATACATCATCTTGTTTGGCCTTTGGCGGACAGAGGAATAACAAAGCCCTGTAAATTAACTTTTTATGCTTTGTATTCTACACAAGCAAACTCAGGGAGGCAGTGAAGGACAGGAAGGCCTGGCGCAATATGGTTCATGGGGTCATGAAGAGTCGGACACGACTTAACGACTAAACAACAACAACAATTCTACACAAGAGCTCAGTTGAATGTTTTTTCCCCCCAATCACACAGACCTCAGCAATGTGAAACTGGGCCACTATAAAAGACAACCGCAAAAAACACACTTCAAGTATGATGCTAATTTACAAGAGAACTCAAGATAATCAGTCCTAGGCCTTTGGGGGAATGGGGAGAAGTAAGTAGTAAAGGGTAGGAGTGTTTTCCCTCCTAGAGGTCTCATTTCATTGCCAAAGCTTAGCTGTCAGATCTTAAACAGGCTCTTGAAGGTTAATGATTTTTATACTGATATTCCTATGTCATTTCAGTGCTTGTTTATTTACACAATACATTGTGAGAGAGATAATTTCCAGTTTTACACATTGTTCAATAATTGCTCCTTTTTCTCTCAGCCTTGCAGTTTATATACTCTAAAACTGCAGTTCACTTAAGAATACTATGGAGAAAGATGCAGTTATCCCATATACATTCAGCAATAATACTAAGACCGTGCAACAATCTGGATTCAAATGGCAAAATGCAATTTGGAAAATGTGTAAACACTCATGTAGCACCTGTCAGAAACACCTCAAAGCAGCTGTTCCTTTTCTGGCTCACACAACTGTTCTGCACAACTGGTATGCAATCACAGAAAAAGATGCATTTGGGGTAAGATGTTCCCAGGTGTCACAGAATCCCATTCTGCCCTTCAAACCTGGATTGCTGCAGCCCATACAATAAACACTAGTAAGTTGCAGAAAAGGAAAAAAAATACAGGTAGTCCTTGAATGTCCACTTGTTCAGCAACCAAAGTTACAAGGGGTACTTACAACTAGTCCTCGTGGCTGAGGCCATCACAGTGTCCCTGTGGTCACATGATCACGATTCAGGCGCTTAGCAACCAGCTCACAATCACGTCACAGCATCCCACAGCCACATGATCACCATTTGTGACTTTCACTGCTAGCTTCCAAAAGTCAATAGGGAAGCCAGCAGGAGGTCGCTAATGGTGATCACATGACCGCAGGCTGCTGCGACCACATGAGATTCACCTAACAATGGCAACTGGGACTGCCGGAACTGCCACTGTAAGTTGGTGCAGTCACGTGACATTGCACCTTACAACTGCATTGCTTAGCAATGGAGTTCCCAGTCCCAATTACAGTTGCTAAGTGAGGACTACCTATACAATGCAACAAGGCGGCTCTGAAGAATTTCTTCCAAACATGATAGCTTGCTCCATGAGAGCAAAAAGGGCTTGGTGCATTTTCAGTACAAAATTCCAGTTACAAGCATTTCACTATATTCCACACAACACAGACTAATACTTGATAAAGACAATGTATATTTATTCACTTTACAAAGGAGAGCAGCATTAGCTTGCAACAGCTCCAATTATAGACAAATTAAACTGTACATTATACTGGTGAATGGCTCAAAAACTTTACTCAATTTTACTCTTAAAACTGTTTATACCACTTCAGCTTAACTGAGCTAATAGCAACCCCTTTCTTCCCAAGATTAAAAATTCGTAATAAATTTATAAGTTTTCTTTAACATTATTCACAAGTCTCTTCCCCCCCCGCCCCCAATTTTCATTATTTTTCCCCCTCCAAAGATGAACTTTCTCTGGGTCAGCATTAAACTTATATACAAGCATAATTAAAACAAAAAGTTAGGATCAAGCACAGGTCTTTTTCTTTTAAGTACATGAAAAATGACTGATTTACACACACATATAAAAAAAGTCAGTTTAGTCTTAAAACCTGGTTTGCAATGTATCATTGCTAAGGTATGTATAATTCTCTTATGAAAGAATGGTGGTGGTTGTGAAGGAAAGAGGAAGAACTATCAAGAAATTCAAAGTAATGTTTTTGAGTCTTACAAAAATATTTATTTTCTTCCAAAAATTGTAGCAAGATGCCAGCTAGGAAAGTACTTAACTAAAGGAGGTTAAGAAGATAGAGTGGTCTTCAATCCATCAGAATTTGGAACTGATAAAACAAAGCTGCAACAGGATCGTCACCCAATGGGGCTTGATAAGCTATTAGACTTGAGCTGTAAAATGAATGTCCAGGTAAAAGAGTTAATTTACTTGCTATGTGGAAGAAAGATGTTTCACTGTGATCCCTAGAAATACAAAACAGAAGAACAAGAAGGATGGCATCATTATACACTCCAGGCCTGGAAACAGTTTTCTAATATGCCATTAGACATATTGCAGTATCAAGTGTCCACTCCCTTGTGTGATGCAAGTGGCTTTCAGCATGGCAATCCAGAAGTGACACATTTTGGTAGCCAGCTCCAACAAGCTTTCTTTCTTTAAAGGGTATGCTATTCTTCTTCACTTTCATTTTCTGGATCCAAATCTGAGTCTCCATTGATTTCTTTTTCTATTGCCATCTCTTGCTCATCATCTGACTGTTCATCTCTCTCATTGTTCTCCTCATCTTCCTTCTCTTCATCTTCATCCCAGTTTTCCTGAAGGAAAGCATAACAAAATATGCAGTCATCACAATCACTTTTAATCATCCCACCACTAAGTATGGGTAAGAAAGTCACTGAACTTTACTTACATCTGAATCTCTGTCTGCAACCATCTCATCATCTGAACCATCCTCTGATGATTCTGTAACAAAGAACACCAATGTTTGATGTAGACTTTCTCCCCAAATAATTAATACATGCAAAAGGGCTCTGTCACTTAATCCATAGTTAAAATGGGGTAAGGAGATGTATTAAAATCTAAAAATGGTATTAAAGACAAATTCAAATAGCTACAGTCCTCAAGTAGATAACCCAGAAGGCTATTGTTGATTCAAATCACTGATGGGCACTTTAAAAATTCAGAATAAATATATGTCACCTGATCTCAAACCAATAAAGTAATACTTATAGCTGACAGAGGCAATTTGTGATCTGAAATAGATTTTGTTTTTACAAATAAACCCAAGAAAATTAGATCCATTTGTGACAACAGAAGTCAAAATTATAATACACCCTATATAGAGGACATGTCCTAGTACAAACCATTTTAATTTTGATATTTCTAACTTAAGAAAAAAAGCAAAGCCCACTGAAACAAAAAATGCATTTGAGAAGTTCTTTAGTATCATAGGGTGTATCTCACCAGTATATCTACAGGTAGACCTTGCTTAATAATGGCCCTGTTTAGCAACCGTCTGATGTTATAAAGGCACTGAAAAAGTAACTTTACAACCAGTCCTTGCGTTTATGACCACTACAGCATCCCTGTGGTCACATGATCAACATTCTGGCACTTTCCCTCTGGCGGGTATTTATGACCGTTGCAGCATCCCATGGTCACAACTGCCATTTGCACGCTTCACAGCCAGCTTCTGACAAGCAGTCAATGGAGAAGCTGGCAGTAAAATAAGTAGTTGTGGTCTTGTGATGTCTTGCTTATCAACTACACCACTTAGTGATGGATTTGCCAGTCCCAACTGTAGTCAATAAGCGAGGACTATCAGTATCTTGTTTTTATGGAGTAACTCACCAGAAGTCATGTCCTTATGAACTCAAGGATTCTGAAAAGACTGATTGTTCCATCCTTTTTTGAAGCTTTGTGATATTGACGTGGGGACAGAGTACAAATGCATTTGGTTTTCTGAGATAAATGTACAGCACAAGTACTCCTTTCAAGAGAAGAAAACTAATTTTCTTTAAATATATACTGAACTAGGCCATGTATGTCACAAAATTTGGCATGGTGGTAGCATGGTCTTTGCCTATAGCACAGAAGAAAAGCCCCTAGATGCTTTCTGCAGGGTAGCAACTCATCCTAAAGAAGCCAGACACAGAGCTTCCACAGCTTTCATTTTCTGGTTTTGACTGAACATTTAGGTATTACAAAACTGCCCTTTACATAGTGGCTGAGGTAAGGAACCTGTGCTTCCCAAGTTTTGGGCCTACAGCCTCCATATTTTATACAGGTAGTCCTCGCTTACCAACAACAATTGGGACTGGCAACTCCCTCACTAAGCACCACAGTCACTAAGCAGAAAATCATGTGACCACACCGGACTTACAACCTCAGTTCTGCTTGTCATTGAGCAAATCACTGTGTCATTAAGAGAGACATCATGTGACTACGACTTTCGATTTCACTTCCATGTTCTACATTAATTCTGCTTGTTGGAAGCCAATTGTGAAGCATGCAAATGGTGGTCACATGACCACAGGATGCTGTTAAAAATGCTCACCGATTATGAAGTGCCCAAATGGTGATCACGTGAACGTGGTACACTGAGACAGCCATAAACATGAGACTGGTTGCAAAGTGATTCCCCCCCCCAACCATTGTAACTTTGAGCAGTCACTAAACAAGGCAGTCAGTAAGTGAGGACTACCTGTAATCACCTGCAATACTGAGGGAAGTTGGGAGTCAACAACATCTGCAAGGCCAGCTACCCTAGGTCCTAGAAGTTTCATGCATATTTTTTCTGTACATATTCAGGCTGTGTATAGAGGATTTGTGTCTACTGCCCACATACCAAAAATCTATACACTCCATGAAATACCTGATAAGCCTCTCTTTTCAGACATCCCACTGAGGGCATGAAAACAGGGACAAGAAGTGCAATATGGAAGGTAGGGACAATAGCCACATAGAGACTAAGTATCTAAAGGAAACTTCTGATTGTTCTCCTGCTAAGTCTGATTTAAAAATGTGCAATTCTTTTCTATTCCCCAAGCATTCAATTTTAATTGAAGAGAAGATTCAACTGAAAGATGTTCAACTAAAAACAAAGAACCAGAAAGTAACAGTGTACACTATCATATTTTCTGATTGCTCCAAAGTAATTTCTACCAAAATTTGTTTTGCTTACCTTCCTCATATACTAGTTTTGCAGTCTGATCAATGTCAGGCACATCCTGAGCCTGTTCCAATGCAGCCACCTAAAAGAGAGTATTTGGCATCAACAGGGACTGTGGCAGTAACATCTAACTAGACCTTTCAGCTTGTGTAGAATTCAAATTATATTATACCAAGTAGGTATGATTAACTATGTATGATTTTTAAAAAGCACTACTCCATACCCTACTGCTAATTTGTCAGATAATGAAAAGTTTTAATTCAAGTAAGACATACTTTTTTAAAAATTACATTTTTACAAGTTTAGTAATACCTGCTTCTCCCCTTTTTAAATTGTAACTTATCTTTCCAAAAAATTCAGAATACCCTTGTTAGTCTGTAGCAAGTAATGAAGGCATATTGCAAACTAATGATGTCGCTCAATATAAACTTTTTGATGCCTATGACTAGAACCCACGTTATCTTCTATACAAAATGGAACCAAAATGGGCTCTAACTAATTAAAGCTTTTATCTAGATAAAACGATTAACCTGCAACTAAAAGTGATGGCACAACCAGACTGTTCAGTGCCGTTATATACTCAGGATGGTAACTAAGTACACATGTCTCAGGGGAAAAAAATCTGGAGAGAAAATGATAACTGAAGCTCCAACCCAAATACTAAAAATGACTGTGCTGAAAATCCAGAGCTGCTTTGTTGGCATTAACAGATGGTTTCTCTTCTCAAAAAATCAAATTGTTTGTTTCTGCATTAACAGAACTCTGCAGCATCTGCAACAAACTACAAGTTCTATATTTCACTACAAGAGCTGAACTGAATCGATTCTGGCATCAACAAGAGAAACAGCAGCTGCTACTAAATTACATGGAACAATGATCATTGAAGATAAAAATGTTTTAATTTATGTATTTTCCGAGTAAATGTCATTACAAACTTTACTAAGGTTGTTCTATTTAATTTATTGGATTTATGTCCTGCCTTTCTATCAATAAATATATAATTAGGCAGCATTATGAGAACATGAATACGTAATATTCTCATGCTTTAGCATTCACCTGAAAAGAAAATGACTCTAAATTTATTATAACCCCTTCCCTGAAGATTAGGACAAATAAACTTTGTGTGCCTTCATCGTTGTATTCTCAGTAAATCTGTAACACGTCTATACTGAAACTAAACTATATAGGCCTCTAGTGGGGAAAAAAAGGCTTTTTGATGCAATGCCCCCAATTAAAGGATGGAAGTTCCCTGGGTGTCTTAACAAAAATCTTTACTTTTTCCTAAGCGGGTTTATATTTTATGAGGATTGTTAAATCATCAAAATGACAGAAAATGTTCTGCAGCCTGAAATTCTGCCAATGGGAAGCTACCCTTAATGTTGGGAATCTTTTATATTTGAAAGTTATGCATAACTTGTACTGTTCTGCAGAAAATTCTTATACTTGAAAAGCTTTTTGAGTAAGAATGCTACAGTACAGATCACCTGTAGTTTCATTCTCCCCAAAAACGCTCTGAGAGGGGTCATCAGAGTTCCTTCGTACTACTGTCATATTTTCTGGTACACCTGCAAACCTTCCCACATTTGACAGCAGACCACATCGTTATCAGTAACAATACCTCCATTCTGTGTTTGCAACAATAATCTTTCTGTGGAGCAACATTGTCAACTTTAACTTACTTGGGTGATAATAAGATATAGTTTCCCATGTAAGCGAGAAAGCTTCTGCAAAGTTTTTACTCTGCTTTCCATTAACTCATATAATGTTCCAAGCTGGGAGGCTAGATCTGGCAACTGTGAAGGGGATAAAGAGAAAAGAGAATAGTCAACAGAGAACTATGAACACATATGTAATTGTAGTCCTAGGCCATTTCTATATTAAATAAACAGATGCAGATTTATTTATTTAAATGTACAGGTAGTCCTCACTTAATAACTGCCCTGCTTAGCAACCATTCAAAGTTACTACAGTGCTCAAAAACTAACTTTACAACTAGACCCCACATGACCGTCATAGCGTCCTCACGGTCAAGTCATTAAGATTTGGGCACTTTGCAACCGGTGGGCATTTATGATCGTCCCAGCATCCCGCAGTCATGTGATCACCATTTGTTCACTTTGCAGTTGGCTCCCAACAAGCACAATAAATGGAGAAGCTGGCAGCAAAATCACAAGTCACTTAATGTCTGCATTGCTTAGTGACAGAATTGCTGGTCCCAACTGTGAACATTAAGTGAAGACTACAGGTCCTCCAGAGGTTGGGGACTGCAACAGAGAAGGCATGCTTCCTAGGTTGGCAACGTTTAATGGAGAGGACCTGGAGTGCACCCATTGTGCTGGAATGTACTGGATGGGCAGAAATGATTGGAGACAAGCAATCTCCCAGGCCCTATGCCATCAAGGTTTTACAGGTAATAACCAGCACCTTGAATGGCACCCAGAAGCTGACTGGCAGCCAATGTAGCTCATGTAGCAGTGATGACACATGGGAATACCAAAAAGTGCCTGTTACTGCTCGCACCACTGCATTTTGAACCACTGTAGCTTCTGGGTGGTCTTCAAGGGTAGCCCCTTGTAGAGTGCATTGCAATAATCCAATCATGAGGTGACCAGGGCATGATTAACTATCTCAAGGACCTTCGGACTGAAGAAAGGATGCAACTGGCACACAAGATGAACCTGTGCAAAGGCCCTCCTGACCACAGCAGCCACCGACTCATCAAGCAGTAGCTGCAAGTCCAGAAGGACCCCCAAGTTGCGCACCAGTCTTCAGTGGGGAAGTGCAGCCCCATCCAAGACCAGCGATGGTAGCATTCATCACCTAGGGTCCAAACAGCCACAGCCACAATCACTCAGTCTTGTTAGGACTGAGCCAAAGTCTGTTCTGCCCCATACAGACCCAAACAGCCTCCAGACACTGGGTCAATACATCAATAGTTTCACTTGTGCCCCTCAGGGTTGAGACGCAGAGCTGATACCCAGCATACTGATGATACCGTACCCTGAACCAGCAGATGACCTTGCCCAGTGGTTTCATGTACATGAACAGGAGAGGGGAGAGTGTCAAGCCCTGAAGCACCCCACGAGGGGCCATGGACACAATCTCTCCCCCCACCAACACTGACTGGAACCGACCACTGAGGAAGGAGCTGAACCACTGGAGTACAGTGCCTCCCACTCTTAACCCACGCAGCCAATCCAGGATACTGTGGTTGACAGTACTGAAAGCGGCTGAGAGATCAAGGAGTACTAGGATGGATGCACGACCCCCATCCTGGCTCCACCAAAGGTCATCAACAAGTGTAACCAGCTGTGTCTCTGTACTGTATCCTGGCCTGAAGCCAGACTGAAATGGGTCCAGATAATCTGTTTCTTCCAAGATCCTCTGTAGCTATCATCCAACCACCTTTTCCACAACCTTCCCCTGGCCGATAATTATCCAAAAGGGAAGAGTCCAGCAATGACCTTCAAGGCTGGTGGGACCACACCCTCTCTTAAAGAGGCTGAAACCACCACAAATAGTATTGAAACCTCTCATTTTGAAGGAATTTTCTTTGCTTCATCTTTTGTGGACATATACCATGAAAACTGCCTGCTTAAGCTTTATTGTTAATGTATAATATTAGTAAAATTAATATCCCCTGCTGTACAGAAAGCCTTGCTTCCCTTATCACAGCAAGCTGAATGGAATTCTTAAAATGTATGAACAGTTTTACATCATTTAAGTTCTAAGCTACTGAGCAGAAATGTGCTATGCTTCAGATCTGAAGTAAAAAAGGCACATGTTATACCTGTCATCTTTTCCAGGCTCTGTACAAAAGCAATGCAATCCTAGGAAATGACACCTTTGAGTTGAGGAGGTACCAACAGGATGCAACAGGCAGGGCCATTTGTCAACAACTCCTTAATTCAAATGTGCAGTTTTCTGGGATCAAGCAGCTCCTTGCAAGCCCAGAAGGAGACAGGAGGCACTGACAGGTACATTTTGCTTGCCCATGCCCATGCTAAAGTAGCTTTCAACTTGAGATCTAAAATGTATTATATCCCTATAACAGAGATAATTTTGATGACCCAAATATTAATTAGGTAATGAATTTAGTTCTGTGTTTTGCAAACAGAGATTCTACTTCCTGTTGTCTCTTGCCTATCTTATAGCACAATTTTTAAATGTGTCCACTGAGCCACTAACTCAAGCTAGGATATAGTGCATTAAAACTTATCTCTGCATCCTACCACAGATTTGTCAACTTTTTCATCTTAAAGGCAAAAAGTGTCATATTATGCACTTAATATCAAGTTCACTTAGTATCAGTGAACTTTGGAATAGGAGTGAAATATGTTATGCAATGCCCATTGTGCAGGGAATTCACTTTAAACAAAAGGATTCAGGAAGCACAATTTCAACATGGGGGGAGAGAAAACTGTATACAATGACTGCAGAAGCAAAACGCAATTCATGAAATCTATTTCCTCTCCTCTCTGTTTTAGGTCCTTCTAGCAGATCTGAGTCAATTCTCCTTTTCTTTAGCAATCCTATGCAGTACAGCCCACATTAATCACCAGCTGGGAAGCAGAAGTGGATGAGTCTGGAAATGCCTTTCTTTCATGCATCCACTAGATCAGTGTTGTCCAAACATGGTCACTTTAAGATGAGTGGACTTCAACTCCCAGAATTCCCCAGCCAGCATGGGAGTTGA